ACGTCCTGCACGGGAATCGAACTTGGGAACCTTCTTTAACATATATATTGTATGCAGGTGCATTCAATGAGAATTTCTTTGCCAGTTAAAAACTTATAGCGATATTAACAAGTAAACATCCGTTTACCTTTTAATTTCGCTGTTTTTTGTATTTATTTTTATATTAAATATTAAATACACTGTCCTCGTTCATTATTGCTGAGGTTCTAAATCTTCAGTAAATCGCAGTAAGATGACTGTGAGATGCCCTCAGCCGTGGAAAGGATTTATTATTATTATTATTATTATTATTATTATTATTATTATTATTATTATTATTAATATTAAGCTCAGGTGTATATATCATTATTTTTTTTTTATCTATTTTTTTAATCTAATTTATTTATATATAATCAAGAAGATACATTGGGTTTGTGAGGATACATAGCATTGTGTTTACAATCTTGTAAAGCCACTAGTACCCGCAGCGTTTCGGGCAGGTCCTTAATCTATGAGATAATATTAAGTAGGTAAATTCTAGCAAAATTTATCAAATGTTAGCAGGTACATTGTAAGAAAAAATTGTGAGAGATTATTAGGTATATTAAAGCACATTGACAGCTTTGATTGATAGCATTGACAGCTTGATTGATAATTTGACAAAGATTAATAGGCACAATAAAGCATATTGATAGCACATATAAGATGACAGCAATGATCACACTGATAAAGGTGTATGGCTTAGGTACATAAATATTGAGGATTGGGTAGCAGTAGATACAGTGAAAGTTTCAAGCACAGAGTAGGAAACTATGAAGATGAAATTAGGTACTTTGTTTTTGTTTTTGAATAAGGCAAAAGTTGGACAGCTTTTCAATTCATTAGAGAGTGAGTTCCATAGACTAGGTCCCATTATTTGCATAGAGTGTTTACACAGATTAAGTTTGACTCTGGGATATCAAAGATATATTTATTTCTGGTGTGGTGATTATGGGTCCTATTACATCTGTCCAGGGAGAGTTTCAGAACATGGTTGGCATTTAAGAACAGGGTTTTGTAAATGTAGATGGCACAAGCTAATGTGTGGAGTGAGGTTATGTTTAGCATGTTTAGGGATTTACACAAAGGGGCTGAGTGTTGTCTGAAAGCAGAGTTTGTTATTGTTCTGATAGCAGAATTGTGAAAGCAGATTGTGTTGCGTTATAAAATAAACCTTATTCTATATGAAGGTTTACAGAGTACAGATCAAGAGTTATGAATTCGTCTAATTTTTGTATTTTTGTATTAACAAGCTTAGGTATACACAGCAATGTGATGCTGTCCTATTCTGTATGAAAGATTATACACAGTTACCTCCATCTCACAGTATGATCAAACATGTAATCAGAAATCATGAGATGCAAGTCCTTGGTCTACTAGCCTGTACTATCAGACTCTGGATAAATCACAAGGATACCTTCCAATATTCGTGAGTGCTTCAAGTAGTTACAGAGCTCAAAGCAGCTCGTACCATTTGGTCTGAAGTCGTTAATAACGGGGCGATCAGATATATAGTGATGGAGTGTGTGTCCCAGCTCACATAGTTCACACCGATTCCTCGGGAATCTGTTCACCAGTTGATTAACAGTTGGGAGGCGGGACCAAAGAGTCAAAGGTCAAATCCCCTCAAGCACAACTAGGTGAGTACAGTTGGAATGATCACCATTGGGGGAATTCATTATCTACCGCCACCTGCCCTGGATACGAGGGTCCCGGTAGTACAGTCGGGTTCGTTCTCGCATCACAATCGAGAATTCCGGGTTTGAATCTCGGGCGGAACGGAAGTAGTTGGGCGCGTTTCCCCTCACCTAATGCCCCTGTCCACCTAATAGTAAATAGGTACCCAGGAGTTAGATTGTTGTGGAGGCTGCATCCTGGAGAGGTTCAATAGTTCGACCTTAAGAGGACATAGATATAACCCTAACGTTCATATATACACAGGCTGCCTGTCCCCCGAGAAAATTTATTCTTATTGAATGAAATTTGGAAACTTTTGGTCTGTGGATTAATTATGCTGTTTATAATGGATGATGCAACATTCCCACTATATATTTTGCACGTTGGGCTCTCAAGTGTATGAAGATCTGACTGAATCACTGAATATAATTCCTCCAGTATCTTTCAGTGTGTTAGTAACAAGTGGTAGTGCTGCTAATTCTGTACATCTGGAGCTAAGCCAGTTAAGCAACAGAACAAATAATAATCCAGTTGTGTACTAAGTGTACTAAGCCAGTTGTTGAGTCTCTCATTAGATGTCTGTGTACATCTGTTTTCGTGTATTGTACAGGCTGCTGCAGTGCGGCCTGTTGACACTTGGACAGAGCCACCAGTGTAAGTGCAAGGAAGCAGCAGCCGAGCAGCTCCGTCAAAGCTTTCTTAACAGGCATCTGCTCGGCAAGGTGTTACACTCCAGCCGCTTCTCTAGATTTGCCACTCCGTAAAAAAAAAAAATGCAAATGTTGTCTCCTAACCAGAAACACATTATTCCAAACAACATGGCTATCACATATCATATTAACATATCATATTTTGCCCGAAACGCTATGCGTACTAGTGGCTATAGGTATTGTATGTACTAGCTCTATCTATAAATCCAACATTATTTTTGTAAATCAACTATAAATGTACTTTCCCGAATAAAATTTACTTTACTATATCGGGGCCGATGCATAGAAAAACGTTTATATTACGTCGTTATTATTTTTAGAAATGCGTCGCATTTTTAACGATTTGGTCGATTCCGCGAATTCTCCCTCGTGCAAGGGAGGGTTTTGGCGGGGGGGGGGGGGGGGGTGCATTGTGTCCTCCCTTTATCCTTAACTTTTAAGTAGTTCAGAAAATGTATTATAACTCGACAAGTTAGGCATAAAGCGAAAACTAATCCACCTCAATTTTAAAATATAAAAATTTAAGGTTACGTGTATTTGAGGGTATGGCAGGGATATATATATATATATATATATATATATATATATATATATATATATATTATAACTGGTACTATATGTTCGATGATTTATGAAACAAATTATCGCGTATCATAATAATGAGATCCCTGGGTTGTTTCAAGCGTAAGTTGTACATTGATTAATATCCCGGGGTTGCCTTTGAGCAGTCTGAGGGGCCTCTTTGGATAACATACTCCATGGTTCTTCTACTTTGAATTCTTCATTTGTATTTATTTACATAAAACAAGATTCAGTGGGTTGTTACATATATTTCACGGTGAGTCTACTTTGGATAAAATATCGTAAGTGATCGTGTTACGCCTTTGAATATATCGTGAATATATCGTAAGTTATTTTCTTATCTCGGTAATAAAACGTTGGCTTCATAAACCTGAATCATAAGTGATTATGATTCCTTCTCAGTTCTGTCTCCATCAATTTTGCAATTCAACCATCCATCATTCCCACCACCAAGGGGGTCTAGCCACCCCTAGCCCCACTACCAAGGGGGTCTAGCCACCCCTAGCCCCACTACCAAGGGGTCTAGCCACCCCTGGCCCCACTACCAAGGGGTCTAGCCACCCCTGGCCCCACTACCAAGGGGTCTAGCCACCCCTAGCCCCACTACCAAGGGGTCTAGCCACCTCTAGCCCCACTACCAAGGGGTCTAGCCACCCCTGGCCCCACTACCAAGGGGTCTAGCCACCCCTGGCCCCACTACCAAGGGGTCTAGCCACCCCTGGCCCCACTACCAAGGGGTCTAGCCACCCCTAGCCCCACTACCAAGGGGTCTAGCCACCCCTAGCCCCACTACCAAGGGGTCTAGCCACCCCTAGCCCCACTACCAAGGGGTCTAGCCACCCCTGGTCCCACTACCAAGGGGTCTAGCCACCCCTGGTCCCACTACCAAGGGGTCTAGCCACCCCTGGTCCCACTACCAAGGGGTCTAGCCACCCCTGGCCCCACTACCAATGGGTCTAGCCATCCCTGGCCCCACTACCAAGGGGCCTCACTATCCCTGGCCCCTCTATCAAGGGGCCTCACTATCCCTGGCCCCACTACCAAGGGGCCTCACTATCCCTGGCCCCACTACCAAGGGGCCTCACTATCCCTGGCCCCTCTACCAAGGGGCCTCACTATCCCTGGCCCCTCTACCAAGGGGCCTCACTATCCCTGGTCCCACTCCCAAGGGGCCTCACTATCCCTGGTCCCACTACCAAGGGGCCTCACTATCCCTGGCCCCACTACCAAGGGGCCTCACTATCCCTGGCCCCACTACTAAGGGGCCTCACTATCCCTGGCCCCACTACCAACGGGCCTCACTACCAAGGGGCCTCACTACCAAGGAGCCTCACTATCCCTGGCCCCACTACCAACGGGCCTCACTACCAAGGGGCCTCACTACCAAGGGGCCTCACTACCAAGGAGCCTCACTATCCCTGGCCCCACTACCAACGGGCCTCACTACCAAGGGGCCTCACTATCCCTGGCCCCACTACCAAAGAGCCTCACTATCCCTGGCCCCACTACCAAAGAGCCTCACTATCCCTCCACCATTAATGGGCTTCACGTTTCTTCTCGCCGCCGCCTGCTGTCATGGCCAGCACTAAGGGACACGCTACACCACCTCTCCGACGCCCCTCGTCTCATTCCTCGACCCACACTACCGTGACGAGCGGCGGGGAGCACCTCCTTGATGGCTGGCTTGAGGCCTCCCCAACCCATAAGGTATCAACCCACTTGTAAACAAAGCCAGTTGCAATCATCCATCTTGGTTGGCTCTCACCGCCTTTATAGCCGGAAACGCGCAAAGCTTCCTGAGTGGAGTTTTTTCTTGGCTTCTCCAGGGCGGACTAGGCCACAAGGTACCGGTTTTGTACTGCGGTAATATACTGCCGGGAGCCGGTAGATCCCGTGTATACTTGCACAGTATATGCTGCTCTTGGGACCTGTCGACCAGTTCTCTCTTGTTCCTCGAGGGTATACTGTCTTGTTCCTGTCGGGGTGTAGATATCTTTGTCGGACAGGATTACATTAGTCTTCCCGGCTTTGGCGCCTTCTTTTGATAGTTGCTACCTTATCCCTGCCGGGATATACCTTATCCCTGCCGGGATTTACCTTATCCCTGCCGGGATATACCTTATCCCTGCCGGGATATACCTTATCCCTGCCGGAATATACCTTATCCCTGCCGGAATATACCTTATCCCTGCCGGGATATACCTTATCCCTGCCGGGATATACCTTATCCCTGCCGGGATATACCTTATCCCTGCCGGGATATACCTTATCCCTGCCGGGATATACCTTATCCCTGCCGGGATATACCTTATCCCTGCCGGGATCCACCTTATCCCTTTCTCGTATTACCTTACTCGTGTCGGATACCACTTTGTCCCAATAAATTTTCGCCTTTATACCCATTAGGAATTAAGGCCGTATCAGTGCAGAGTCCATATAAGATTTCACACACTATTTTTCCAGAAATAGAAATGCCAACATTAAGACAACATTATCTGAATGTTTAATAGTTTCTGGTGAATGTTTGGGCGTGTCCTCGTGTTAGGAGGAACCCGAGCCGTGATGTTAAGGGGCGGGTGAGGGGGGAGGATGGGGTGAAAGGGGAATGATGGGGGCTGGACATGTTGAGAGACGTTGGCACCTCTCAGACACAGCCGCCAACTCTCGCAGTCTTCTAACACAGACACAACGGGTGGATAATGAAGGGTAGGATGGTCCTGCATAAGAAGATGGAGTCGTGGTTGGTTCCTCCGGTGTTTGGTCTAAGGCGCCGACGCCGCGGGTGCCTCGTCTTGATCCCGTCGGTAACCCCGCTACGCCCACAGGACCTCTCTCTCTCGCCTCCTTCCTCGCCCCGTCGGCCGGGTTTTCTTGTTCGACGGCCCCCACCTTCCTTGATGGGATGTGAATCCTGATGGCGCGCTTCTCCGGATATTTTCATTTTTAGGAGGTTGTGTTCTCGACAGCGTTCTCCAGGAGGTTCTGACAAGATGATTGCTTCGTGACTGCGTTCTTCGTTCATATATATGGCGAATCTTCAGGGGGTTTAGTTTTAGTTTCTCGGTGGTCCTCTCCAGATAGTCTAGTATTTGCTAATATATCTTTGAACTCCTCCTCCTCTTGTGTGAGTTCTCTCCACACCATTACCAGTATTCGAGATTCATGTATTGAATTGTTTGTTTCGTCAGTTAAAAGCTACGCCCAGCTTTGCCGGCTTGATTCCTTCGTTTGATAATTCGTCAATGAAATACATCTTTTAAGTAGATCTTGGTTCTCATCGACACGGCCAGAAATCAAAGGGTTGCTAGCTTTCAACTTCAGCGATCTAGAGTGTGGCGATCTAGAGAGGAAATGCCCGTTGTATCTTTAGATTCCTGAACGGAATCTGAAGATACAAAGATTACAATACCTTTAGTGATTTCTATCACTCAAGATTACTTTGAGTGAACAAAGTTCACTCAAAGAGTAGCAACCTTTGATTATTAATTGTAATTCACAACTTAAAACTTTTCACTTATTCAGTGTTTTATATGTTAGTAAATATTGTCAGTTTTGCCTAACGTGCCATTAATACAATTAATAAAATCTATCAATTCAATTATTAATTGGGCCTACGTTAGGCAGAATTAAGAGATAGTCATATTCAGGTAAAGTCAAGGTGCTAAGGTAGTTTTGGTTAAAACGTAACAAAAATGTAGAGTTAATTTGAACATATCAATCAATCTACAAGTAAAAATCTTCGAAAACCGGGTGCTGAAGGACTCAGTCATCCTGATTGGGTGTTAATGTCCCCATTGAGGGCCGAAAGCTCTTATATAGATACTGATTTCTGATTTCCCCGTCGTTGATGGCGCTGCGCTCCACGCATTGCTTGTTCATTAGTGAATATTAGGGGTCATTATTCTCGTTATCATTTGTAGTCATTCGTTTACCGGTATTGCCTTGTTCGAAGCAAACTGTTGGCAATTCGTTCTGCATCACCTACGAGGTTGACAGTTTTGATGTAACGATGATGTCACGTTTTCCGTGTAGCTGTTCACGTGGAGTGGCCGTACTGGCCAGGAATGATGCTGTCTTCTGGGAGGGAGGGAACTATCAGGGGAAAGCGCCATGTCATTACGACTATATATATATATATATATATATATATATATATATATATATATATATATATATATATATATATATATATATATATATATATATATATATATATATATGTATATATATAATATATATATGTATAGCACTTGGTAGAAGTCGGGATAAGGATTTGGGGTGGGACGGGAGGAAAGGAATGGTGCCCAACCACTTGTGGACGGTCGAGAATTAAACCTGCATGAAGCGAGACCGTCGCTCTACCGTCCAGCCCATGTCTTCTGGAGAAGTATACAATTATATATTATTTAATTTTTTATATAATTTTGCCATCTTCGAGATGTTCAGAGACAGGCGACTGTTCGTGGTGGCATTGTGCACGAGGCGAGAGATGCTCTTATGAGCAGGAGGGGAGGCAGGGGGGGGGGCGTGGCAGATATATGGAGACGGTAACGGAAGTAGTGCAAACATATTTAGTGAGGTTGTCAATAGCTCTGTGGCTTACGCGGGCACAGTGCCATCTGTGGGACCTAATGAGGCAGTGTCATTACCTTCCCCACCCCCCCCCCTACCCCCCTACCCAACCACATGGGCTGGACGGTAGAGCGACGGTCTTGACGCTTCATGCAGGTCAGCGTTCAATCCCCGATTGTTGGGCACCATTCCTTCCCCCCCTCCGTCCCATCCCAAATCCTTATCCTGACCCCTTCCAAGGGCTATATAGTCGTAATGACTTGGCGCTTTCTCCTGATAATTCCCTCCCCTCACCCCTACTGAAACCTGGTACCTTTCTCCCCCAGACTATTTCTCTCACGTTCGTCCCCCCCCCCGTCCTCACCCCTCAACACCCCCCCCCCGTCCTCACCCCTCAACACCCCCCCCCGTCCTCACCCCTCAACACCCCCCCCCCCCGTCCTCACCCCTCAACACCCCCCCCCGTCCTCACCCCTCACACCCCCCCCGTCCTCACCCCTCAACCCCCCCCGTCCTCACCCCTCAACCCCCCCACCCCGTCCTCACCCCTCAACCCCCCCCACCCCGTCCTCACCCCTCAACCCCCCCACCCCGTCCTCACCCCTCAACCCCCCCACCCCGTTCTCACCCCTCAACCCCCCCCCTCATTCTAACCCCTCAACCCCCCCCCCCCCCTCATTCTAACCCCTCAACCCCCCCCCGTCCTCACCCCTCAACCCCCCCCGTCCTCACCCCTCAACCCCCCCCCTCATTCTAACCCCTCAACCCCCCCCCCCGTCATTCTAACCCCTCAACCCCCCCCCCTCATTCTAACCCCTCACTTCCCTCTCCATTCCCCCCATTCCCCTCCGCTCCGCATATTTTCCACCATCTCAAACTACCACCACAGTTGGGGCAGGTCCACCCCACACTCCCGTGCTGTGCACGTTTACCCGTGCAGCCGTTTCTCGTGTTCACATTCTGAATACATGGTGTTAAGGGTTCAGTCGTGACCTTTGACCTCCCCCTATCCCATCCCTTGCCCCCCCCCCCATCCCTTACCCCTATCCCTCACACCCATCCCCAACCCGCGCCGGCTATCCTGAGTGGGGACGCGACATTCCGGCCTCAAAGGTGAAATAAATTCAAATTTATTAGTCATGGTATCTTTTTTTTTACGGAATAAATCGCTTATTGTCAAACATTTGTAAAAACAAAAACGAAAGTAAATGAGCTGGAAGAAAGGTGTTGGGGCCGCTGGCATGCGTTCACCCACACGGCCACTAGCATGCGTTCACCCACACGGCCAGTGGCATGCGTTCACCCACACGGCCAGTGGCATGCGTTCACCCACACGGCCACTGGCATGCGTTCACCCACACGGCCACTAGCATGCGTTCACCCACACGGCCAGTGGCATGCGTTCACCCGCACGGCCACTGGCATGCGTTCACCCGCACGGCCAGTGGCATGCGTTCACCCACACGGCCAGTGGCACGCGTTCACCCACACGGCCACTGGCACGCGTTCACCCACACGGCCACTGGCATGCGTTCACCCACACGGCCACTGGCATGCGTTCACCCACACGGCCACTGGCATGCGTTCACCCACACGGCCACTAGCATGCGTTCACCCACACGGCCACTGGCATGCGTTCACCCACACGGCCAGTGGCATGCGTTCACCCACACGGCCAGTGGCATGCGTTCACCCACACGGCCAGTGGCATGCGTTCACCCACACGGCCACTGGCATGCGTTCACCCACACGGCCACTGGCATGCGTTCACCCACACGGCCACTGTCACGCGTTCACCCACACGGCCCCTGGCACGCGTTCACCCACACGGCCAGTGGCACGCGGTCACCCACACGGCCACTGTCACGCGTTCACCCACACGGCCCCTGGCACGCGTTCACCCACACGGCCAGTGGCATGCGTTCACCCACACGGCCCCTGGCACGCGTTCACCCACACGGCCCCTGGCACGCGTTCACCCACACGGCCCCTGGCACGCGTTCACCCACACGGCCCCTGGCACGCGTTCACCCACACGGCCCCTGGCACGCGTTCACCCACACGGCCCCTGGCACGCGTTCACCCACACGGCCAGTGGCACGCGTTCACCCACACGGCCAGTGGCACGCGTTCACCCACACGGCCAGTGGCACGCGTTCACCCACACGGCCAGTGGCACGCGTTCACCCACACGGCCAGTGGCACGCGTTCACCCACACGGCCAGTGGCACGCGTTCACCCACACGGCCAGTGGCACGCGTTCACCCACACGGCCAGTGGCACGCGTTCACCCACACGGCCAGTGGCACGCGTTCACCCACACGGCCAGTGGCACGCGTTCACCCACACGGCCAGTGGCACGCGTTCACCCACACGGCCAGTGGCACGCGTTCACCCACACGGCCAGTGGCACGCGTTCACCCACACGGCCAGTGGCACGCGTTCACCCACACGGCCAGTGGCACGCGTTCACCCACACGGCCAGTGGCACGCGTTCACCCACACGGCCAGTGGCACGCGTTCACCCACACGGCCACTGGCACGCGTTCACCCACACGGCCACTGGCACGCGTTCACCCACACGGCCACTGGCACGCGTTCACCAGTAAGAGTTGACATAACTGGCATTCTTCCTGCGACACATTCCACCACAACGAATAAATATTTCATCAGATTTGAACATCCACTCATGCCTTGTTGAACACGCCTTGTTGAACTCGCCTTGTTGAACACGCCTTGTTGAACACGCCTTGTTGAACACGTGTCCGGCATCGTTAAGCAATCTGTATCTAGGCAATTAAAATGGTCATATTTCTTCATATAATAATAAT